GGGAGACTAGGGTCCAGGGGCAGGATGCACTAATTATGGAAAGAGGAGAGGATGTGGAAGAGGCCAGAAGAGAGGGAGACCAGGTAGGGCTTGGCCAAACAGAGTACAGTAAGTGTTCTGCGCTGAAATGTACAACAGAGCAGCAGGACAGACCAAGCTTCTCACCACACGCCAACCTGCATGGGGGTTGGCCCTCAAAACTGAGCTAGCCTACAGGCCCCCCACCATGGGCACCCTCCAGCTTTGGGGTCAGGGAGCCAGGTGTGTCATCCGAGGGTCTACATTAGACAAGAAACTTCCGGATTTTCATTTCTTCTCCCTCTTTTAGCACATTCACTGAAACGCCCTTGCTTCTTCAGGGCCTCATGCTCCATCTCAGTCTGTCTCCATCCCTCCCCTACACTCCTGCCCTCCTCTCCTCTCCTCCCTCTTTAAGGACCCATCTTATTTCTTGGACCCCCACTTCCCGGAGCTACTATGTAAGCGTGTTTGTGTGCTGTTGGAGGAGCGCCCTCAGGAGGATGGGGGAGCAGGGATGGTGATGTCCGGGACGGCGATCATTCCTCCTCTCTCCCTCCCCGGCCAGCTGGAAATGTGCCCTGTGACCATCCGATCTAACTAACTGAAATTTCAGTCTTGACAGAAGGAGGCTTTAAAAAAATAAATAAATAAACAACGCTAGCTTTCTTGGCCCTCAGCCTCCTGAGAGAGAAGGCAGGGGCTCTGACTGCGGGGAAGTGGAGTCCCAGCTCCCTGATTCCCACCGCTAGGGGCAATCAGCTGCGAGCAGAAACCTCCATCTTGAAAACACCATGTGGAATGGAAAACCATAACTGCACAAAAATGGTGACTCAGGAGTGCTGGGGCTCACACCCCAGGGGAAACTCAGCAGCAGCAAATCAGAGATCGGAGGTACGTACCCTTCTCGTACCTTCCACCAGGTGCCTGCCCTGTGGCCCCCAGACAGGCTCCCCGGGACCAACTGGTGCAACTCCACTCGTGCCAGCTCCTTCTTGCAGAAGCCCTGATCTCTCAGATGTCTTCCCAGACCCAGCTTTCTCGCCCTCTGGGCTCCCCGGGCCCTAGCACAGGCCACCAGGCTCCCTGCCCACCCACCTCCCCTTACCCAACCAATGGCCACATGCAGGCCCCCTGCTTCGCTGAAAGGGCATCACCAAAGGGACTCCAGTGGCACATGGAGCAAAGGCAGAGCCACTGGGGATGGCCTCAGGGGCCCTTGGAGGTGGCAGGAGGACACAGAATTCTCCCAATAAGGGCTGCAAACTCAGATAGAGCTGCAGAGCATGAGAAGCCTGTGGGGTCATTGTTTTCTAGAGACAAGAGGAAGTGGCAGTGTTTCAGGTGCCACCGCAGCGCCAGCCTGCTTCCCCCTCACCGCCGCTCATCTGATTTTGTCATAATCAAAACATCACACCAGACAGCCCATCCAGAGAGTAGCACCGGCCAAGCTCGTCTCCCGTCGCCACCGTCCCACCCTTACAGGCCCCACGCTGGAGGGGGCTGGAGGCTCTGAGTCAGACCCACGGAGTCTGGACAAATGCCACTCGGGGTCACTGGAGGCAGCGGACGGACAGGGAGGCAAGGGGATTGCCCCAGACAGAGAGCCATGCCTGGGGGGAATGAGGGCACAACTCCAACTCTGAAAGGGGTTCTGCCTCCTCCCAGGGAGCTCCAACCTGGGTGGGAAAGACAACAAGCATAGAGTGCCTCACCAGCCATCGCCATCCAGCCCAAGTAAACCTCGCCAACACGTCATTCAGATGAGCCAGCATTCAAACCTCAGAGACCGCCCCCCACACCCCCACACCCCCCCCACATGCACACACTTATACTTTTGGCTCTCTGGCCTTTATTCCCCAGGGTGGTTATCATCTCTTTACACCCGGATTTATAAGCCTAGTGACCTACAAATAATTTTATTCCTCCACTACTCTTCACTTGACCATAAAGTGGATGAGCTCTCAGCCAAACAGTGAAGCCTCCCACTGGTGGTGGAAACTGCTGGGAAACCACAGCACAGTTTTAAACCAAACTGTGCTTTTCCTATTAGAAAAAATATATATATATTTCCCCACATCAAGGGGTGATGACCACATGAAGAACGTTTAACCTCAGTTTAAGCAAAGTCTGAAATATTTTCCAAGTTGTTTCAGAAAAAATACTGATTTCTTGCCTTTGGTAAATATGATCTATTGAGAAAAAATGACAGAATATAGGATATTATGGTCAAATTCCAAAATGATAACCAGCCTGGGATCGAATGGATTTATTTGATCTCATTGACAGTATTACAGAGTACAGAACTCTCAAATATGAAATCAGAGTCCGATTTTTTTTTTTAATTTCCAAAGGTTGGTTGTAGGGGTTTGCTAGTCTTTGTAGTTTCTACTTTATTTCAAAGGGGGCTCATGAGCCCCCTTCCCACCTAATATCAATCAATATCTGACCTTTGAAAATTGAAATTGACATTTATTATCCTTTCCCATGACGTCAGCATTGCCAATTACCCTTAGCACCAATGTCCGATGGGACAGATGCTCACCTACCCTCTGGCTGAAAATAGCTATCATTGATATCAGGAATGGCAAATGTTCTCTGCCTGCTTAATAGCCCATTAGGCCACTCTGTGAAACAGGCAGACAAATCCCTCCAAAAAGCATCTGCTTCACCCACCGTGGGATGCCAAAGACTTCACGTATCAGTTGGTGAGAGCGCTTTTATCCATTCAAAACAGAAAACTATCAGCACCCCGATTCACAGGCATAATCTGCACACTCAAGTTTGCAGAACCCAATGGTGCCGCGGTTTCAGAACAAGGACCCCAGAGACGCTGGACTCCAAGAAGATTCCACAAACCTTAGCGTTGGCCTCCTCTCTCTGTCTTTGCCAACACCATGTAACATGCCAGCGATGCCACAGTAGGTAATTTAGTCGAATTCCAGGGATCCAGGCATCTATTGTGCACAGCCCACAGCATTCTACTGGGTTTCCCTGGAAATGCCTCAGAGCAATTTATACTAATTCTTCTTCTTGCTGGAAAAATCTCACAAACTACCTTAATTGCTTGAAACAATTATACTATATTGTAATCATTGCACTGCCTTGTAATTATTTGCGTTGTGAATGGGTCCCTCCCCCTACCCCCCCACCACCCCGCACCTCTACCTCCAGGTGTGAGCTCTTTCAAAGAGTTCCTGTGGCCTCAGTGTTCACTATGTGCCTGGTACATAGAAAAACTCAGTACCTTTGGTTGAATTGAGTAAATATGAACCGAAGCCACGCCGATCACTTCTTAGCTTCTGTTATGACCCCATCATTTAAGTTATATTTAAGTGGTTACTCGGCAAGGCTTATCACGAACCTTGAATATCTACTGCAGGCTTCTGTTACCGTAGACCAATGTAAGTGGAATATGAGCAGTCATTTTCAAGTATCTATGTAATTGTCTCCTTAAGTGTCTACGTCCAAAAAAAAAAAAAAATTTTTTTTTTTTTTTTAGTAATCCTGATTACTAGTATTTCTAAGGCAAACCTCACATTAAAGTTAAGTAAGTATGTGTAAGCCTAGCTCAGTATCTGGTGCACAGGAATGCACTTGCAACGTTAGTGCTCTGTCCCCACGTTCTGCTTGCTGTGTCTGGTAATGTCAAAGCCTGAAGGTAACAACTTAGTTAATGCTTTCCCAGCCACTGACACCAGCCCCACCACTTCGGGCCAGTGGCGGGAGCAATCATCCAGACACCTGCTCACAGTCTTTTTTTCCTGAAACCAGTGAGTCGTTGCTCTGTTTTAATTTTACGTGCCTCTCTCCCCTCCCTCCACCTCAAGCCATGGTCGTTTGATTAAAGCCAAACTAACAAGTGGAAGATACCCGTCAGCCAACAAGCATGCAAGACGGGACTCGGCAACAATGAAGGGAAGAAAGAGGTTTTCGATCTTCTTCAAAACTGACGGAACGATTTAGCAAACCATAAAAGGCCCTCCCTCACATATCAGCATAAACTGATTTCTAGCCTTGTGAGGTCACGTGGGGGGAAGGCTGCAACAGAAAAGAAGCGCCAAATGCAGCAGAGACGACCCAGAGCAGAATGTGTCCCCTGAAGAACTGTGCCACCAGCGAAGGACAGCTTCCTAGACACGGACAAGCAGGACAACCCCATGGAACGGGAAAATGGAAATAGCCAACTACCTTGGCTTGCTCACGAAGTCATCCTCTTACCACAATCAGCATCTCTGAGGGTTCCCGACCAAGAAACTCCCTAAGCATTGGAGGCAGCTATCCTGACCTCGCCTGGGCAGTCACATGCGCACCGGATCCCCAAGCCTCTCGTTCTTGGGAAAACACGAGATCCTACCCCTTAGCGACCCACCCAGACACAAACTCCCAACGCTATGCAGCCTGCAGCCCCCAGCGGGCCTCACCAAGTACAAAGAACGGCACGAGGGATTCACAGGTTGCCACGAGAATTCTCCAAGCAACTCCGGAGACGCACTGAAGTTAGATCCCAGGAGCTAGTTTCGTTAGGTGGTGAATTCATACCCGGGTAACCAAGTAAGATTACCGATCATTGTCTGTTTGTTGTTTTGGGGTTGTTGGTTTTCTTTTCTTTTTTTTTTTTTTTCTTTTTAATGCTACATGTATTTGTTGCCTTGATTTTTTTTTTTTTTTATTAAGTAGGCTCTCTGTCCCAACATAGGGCTTGAACTCACAACCCCAAGATCAAGAGACACATGCTCTTCCAATGGAGCGCCCCTGTTTTTAATTTTAGGAGCAAACTCTGTAAGTCTAATGCCATCAAAGCCAGTGAAGGCTATTCTGACCCAAAGGCACTGACACTTGAAGGAACCGCTGTCGTGCTCTGAGACCATCTACAGGCCTAAGAGTCACATCTGTCCATCCAGACCAGGCTGCCGATGGGCCTCCAAACTTCTGTGACCTCTGAAGGTCACCGCCAGAGAAAGAAACTCAGGTGTACTTACGAAGGGCGTGCCACTCGTCCTGACGGATGGTCTTCGTGATGTTGAAAGTGAGGTTCCTGGGGATGGTGGCTGAGGAGTAGTGGTATTTGATGTACGTGCATCGTTCAATTTCTCCTGCCGAAGAGAGACAGAAAACCGAACGTTAATGGGCAGCAACCGCATCTTGAGGCAGTTTCTGGGACCCATTTTTCTGTCCCGGGGAAAGAGACTTGTCTCCTATCAGGCCTGGTGACAACTATAGTTTACACAAGGCATTAACTTTGACTCCAAAAAGTCATGTCTACTTTCCAGAGAGTCAACTATAAAGTCCAACACCATTGATTTAGATAGAAAAATACCTCCCCGGCATCATTCAGGGATGGAAAGAACCAGCCTCTTCTCAGCCTTCTGGGGGGAGGGAGGGTGGAAATCAAGCCCCTTAACACACTCAACATCAGGTCCAATGGGACCTTTCCTGATCATTTGACTAGCGAAGCATGCATTGCTCACTTATCAAAGGACTCCTATCTCAGAACAGAGTTTCTCAAAGTGTGGTCCAGGGACCATCAGCATCCTCCAAGAACTTGCTAGAAATGTCCTTTCCTAGGCCTAATCCCAGATCTGCCAAATCAAAAACTCAGAGGTAGAGCTTGCCATTTGAATTTCAATAAGCCCTCCAGGTGATTCTTTTGTACGCCAAAGTTTGAGAACTACTGCCCCCGAGAATCTAACAGAATTACCAATGTATTGCTTCATAAATCCAGCTTGTTTGCAAATTCCAAAAGAAAGGGCCAATTAGGAGTTCCTTCCCCATTACTTTTAGTCTCCTGCAGGCATGTCTTTTGACACTTGCATATCTGGGGAATATTAAAACTCAGTGTCGGGGGAGTCATTGTGAAGAATCAGGGAAGAAGTGATTTTTAAGGTTAGGGGTTTAAAATGTGGTTTTGCACCTGAATAGATTTTGATGGTAATCCATTTTGCACCCCACTGATTTTCAATTTATAAGTGGTGACACCTGATTGAATCATTTGACCCCCCCCCCCCCCCCGGCTCCCTGTCTGCAGGGAACCCGGCAATTGGTGAAGGTCAGTAATTGAGACAGTAGCTCTCGTGAAACAGACGCCTTACTGTAAATCCTATCTGGACGACTGCCCTACTGTGAGTTACTGCACATACTCTTCCAGTGGGACAGACACTGTTCAAAGAGGCAAAATTTGGAGAAAGTGCTAGACACGCTTTTCCTTTTTCGCCTCCTCTGCCTCTGTGCCCTTAGCCTCTCAATGTCCTCAAGTCTTTCACATGCCCCTGGCATGCCCCCTGACCACAACCCCCACCGGGCCTTCCTTCTTCCCTAACTTGCTATCTTGCTATGCCTTCTTGGAAAAGTAGTCTATCAGACCATCTCAACTCACGTTCAGACCCTAAGACCATGATGCTCTGATTTCCATGACTATCTCCAATAGCATCACCTCCCATTCGGTCTACAACATAATAAACTCCCTGGCCATCCCCAATGCCTCCCCATCTCTAGTGGGGCCCGTCCTCCCTGACATCCAGTTGGTCACCAAGTCGGAAGCCAGCCCATCCTCTGTGCCTTCAGCCTCTAGAGTAATTGTGTGAATACAACAACCCATCTCAGCAAACAGCCACATTTACTAAGGACTTGCTTGCAGGAAACGCTTGTCAAGGGCTTCATAAACCGATGGTTTCCTGCTCTACTCATGTCACGACACACACAGAAGAGATGTGTACCTCCTCCGGATGAACAGATGCCTCCTCCCTGTGAAGGAGCCAGCACCCCCAACCCACTTGTAACCCTCCATGTTCAGGACTTTTCCCAAAGGCAGAAACCCCCGTGCTAGATGTAGTCTTACTTCGTCCTTCATACAACCCAATTAAGTAGGCGTTGCTATGACCATCGGCATAATAGGATATTTCACAAAAGAGAAAAAAGGCTCAAAAAAATGAGGGGACTTTCCCGAGGAAATGGCAGCACCAGGATGAGAACCCAGAAGCGTGTGACCGGAGCTTCCCTCCACCAGGACACCCTCCACAACGCTGCTTGGACTGCATTCCAGAAAGGAAACCAAGGTCTCTTTTATGCATGGGATCAACCGCACACTCCTCGGGCGGGAAGTCCCAGCCAGGGGGGCTTTCCCACCCCACCCTGCAACCGCTGTATCCGAGGCCTCTGCACCTTCCCTCCCAAGAAGTGGCCAGTATGGTGGCTCCCTGGCAAAGCCTTCCTGGCAGCTTGGCCGGCACCCCGCAACAGCGAGCAATAGTGGTTCGACCAGGTCCCTCCGCTCCCCTCCCTGAGCTCCTGCCCTACTTAGGCAAGCACACCGATGGGCTATGATTTATCAGTTCACACGCCTCACTCCCCCCACTAGATTATGAGTTTCTCAAGGGCAGGGACTGGTCTTATCCATTCATCTCGCTCTGCCCGGCTCCCAGCACCGGGTGAGCACCAGTAACACGTGCTGGGAGGAAGAGAATGAATAATCAGAGCCGCCCTCTGCAAAACCACAGTGGGAGAGGCATCCAGCCGCTTCTGTTCCATGCAAGGGACTGAAATAATTGAGGCGAATCAGAATCTAACAAATGAAGGGAAGGGATGGCTGCAGAAGCCCTTTCCTATCTGGATACAGTTAGGGAGGGAGGCTTATCCGGTCACGGCGACGTGGGGAAAAACCAGACGGGCACAGAACAGCCTCTCTCTGCACTTTGGAAATGTAAGCCGAGGGGCAACGAGGTCCATGTTTCTGGGTTTTAAGAAGAAAGAGGAGAGGAAAATACAAAGGGTAGAGAATTGTATCAAGAATCCAGATCGTCAGTGACCTGATCATCGAGCAGGTCGTGCTGGATGCCGCTTTGGAGACGCCAAGCAGGATCTCCCTGGAAATGGCCAGATGGGTGGCCATCACCGATGTCTGAGAAAAGTAGCGGATTTCTTGGCCAAGATCAGGTTCTCTCAGGCTCAAAGCAAACTCCGTAAGTGGCCATGGGTTCCAGGCAGGCTGCAGCCAGCTGCCTCCGTCTCCCGCCCCCCCCAGGCCCCCAGCCCCCCAGCCCTCGAGCCACCTGACACTTGGCGCTGCCGGTGATGGGCCCCAGTCGGGCCTGGAACAGCCCCGCTGGAGGCCTCACTATTGGCTTTGCCTCAGGGAGGCAAGCATCCTGTCTTTGACAGCAATTAAATGTGAAAGACTCAAATATTGCCTAAGAAGAGAGGCAAAATATTTATCCATGTGTCTGCAGGTCCTGTCAGTGTGCTGGGCTTTTGTAAATACAGGCGCCATCTGGGCACCGAATTCGTGTGCCCAGAACGTGGGCTTCCCAATACAAATAGGTTTTTGGGCAACAACCCAGAAGGGCTACCTGAGCGCAGGGGAGAAGCCCACAGCCTTCCCTGGAGGGAAGGTCAAACCTGTCTTCCCGACTCCTACCTTCCAGCAGGGAGGCCTCAGCCTGGATAGGGCGGGGGGCACCCTCAGGAATGAGGACAACTTAAGCCTTCATCCATACTCTGCTTTCGGGGCTGGTGACCCTCCTGTTGGCCCCCTCAGGCTCCCGGGCAGACAGGATACCCAAATGGGTAGTTAAGAAGAAATTCAAAAATGGAAAATTTACAAAGCTGAGCACAGGGTGTGCTGAGGCCAACAATGGGGGTTGTGGGGACGTACAGCCGGTGACAGAAGGACTTGGTATAACCTAAGCCTGGAGAGACAGAGGGAGCAGACACCAGAACCTAGAAAGAATGACCGCAAGGGGAGGGGTGACATGACATGACCTTGGGCAGAGGGTCTCAGCCAGCCAGGGGTGAGGGGACTAGGAATAAACATGCAACCTCTCACTCCTCCTTCCCCCAGTAGCCCAACCCACCAGAAGCTGGAAGGGGTTGGGAGGCAGGAGCTGAGAACAGGTGCAAAGTGGAGGGGATCCGAGGGGCAAACACGGGCTTCCGGCTCACTTCCCTTTTTTCCCTTTCCTCCCTTGTTCCTCTCCCATCACCCTGGCCCCGCTCTCCTTCTAAAGGCATCACTCCCGTTCTCCCTTAACTCCAGTGTCAGCCAGCTCCTTCTCCCTTCCACCTCCCCCTGCAAAGGAAGACCCCAGGACAAGGAAGAGTGGGAGACCGTTCCCGTCCTTTTCCCCCATCTCAAATCCTTGAGGACCCAAGGCCCGAGTGTGATGACTCACTTTAAGCCCTCAGTGTGATCCTTACGCACAGGGAGCATTCAGTATCGTTAGTCTCACTTGCTGTCCTACAACTGCTTACTCTAAGGGGGCAAGACCGAAAGCAAATCAGAAATAACATGAGCAACCACTGCTGACATCATGCCACATACATTTTAAATACATATATAAATACATAGATTATATATTTATATATATAATGAGAAATTTCTGCACACGAAAACCCTAGAAGGCTGGCAGATCAAGAGCTCTGATGTACCCTAGAACAGGAGGAGACAGACCAGGGAAGGGAGAGGCAGAGACGGCACCAGACGCTGAACTCTGGATTCCGTTCATACCTTACAACAGCGCTGGTAAGCAGTTCTCCTCTCCTGCGCATCTGCCATCGGTGAGACCTGGTTTCCGAAACCCTTGTGGAAGGCTTCAATATCTTAAGGAGGAAGCTTCTCAGGCAAAGTGATTGGAGAGGCAGCCCTGAGACCCACCCCCACCCCCACTCCACTGGAAATTCTCTGCCCTGAACAGGTGCCACAGCACTTCCAATTTTTCCATTAGAGAGTTGTTCCTTTGGATCAAGTATGATGCTATTAGAGCTCTAAAGGGGCTGCCCTCTAAAGACGTTCAGACGGGTAGCGCTGAGTCACTAACAGGGCTGTGAGTAAGCGAGCTCCCAGAGAAGCTGGGAAAGGCATGAAGAATCCACTGAGGGAGGGGAAGGGCAGGGCGTGTGCAAAGGCAAACTCACATAGGGTGGGCTCCAAGAAAAAGGAGGACATGGGAACTCCCCCACCCCCATGTTGAAGGCGGAGTGATTGGTACAGCCACTATGGAAAACACTATGGTGCTTCCCCAGGGACAAAAAATAGTACTACCGTATGATCCAGCAATCCCACTTACAGGTATGTATTTGGAGGAAATAAAATCACTACTTT